CTGTAACAAATTGTAACTGGGGACAAGTCTTAGACAACCAAAGAGCAAGATCCAGTCAAAACAATGGCTTCCCAGGGAATCTACTGAGTCAGTTAAATTCATGACACAGGGGTCAGCTCTGCCTTGAATTTAATTTAACTGGTCCAGCAGCTCTCTTGGGAAATATAAAAAGATGACCGTTTTATGTGATTCAAAGGGGTAATCCTGATAGATTTTCTTTAAAGACACAAAGTGATCATGGGGGCTTATCATGAAGTTTTAAGAAAATTGAAAACTGCGTTCATGGATAAAAGGCAGGAAAATTGCACTGAGGATTTATTAATTTTTTTTCCTAGAATGACAATGCAACTGCTTATTCTTCAAGGGTTGCAAGGGCTATCCTATGAAAATGTTGCTGGGAAATCATCTACCCTACAACCCTGATCTTGCCCTTTCAGACTTCTTTTTGTTCCTAAAATTAAAAAAACATTTAAAAGGAACATGATTTGAGTCCCTCAAGGATGCCAAAACTGCCATTTTGACATAGTATAAATTGAAAAGCTAATAAGTCTTCGGAGAATGGTGGTTGTTCTTAGATCTGGTTGAGTCAGTTCCAACTCATAGTGACTTTATACACAACAGAACAAAACACTGCCCAATCCTGCGTCTTCCTCACAATTGTTGTTATGCTTGACCCCATTGCTGCTGCCACTGTGTCAAGAGAGGAAGACCCATTAGGGGTCTTCCTCTCTTTCTCTGCCCGTTTATTTTCCCAAACATGATATCCTTCTCCAGGGACTGGTCCCACCTGATAATTTTTTCCAAAGTATGAGAGACAAAGTGTTGCTAACCTGGTTCCTAAGGAGCATTCCGGCTGTACTTCTTCCAGCACAGATTTGTTTGTTTGTCTGGCAGTCCATGGTACTTTTAGTATTTTTCTCCAAGACCATAACTCAAATGCATCCATTTTTCTAGGATCTTCCTTATTCATTGTCCTACCTTCACATGCATATGAGGCTACTGAAAATACCATGGCTTGGGTCAGGCACAAACTGACATCTTTGCTCTTCAGCATTTTATAGCGATCTTGTGCAGCAAATATGCATAATACAGTATGTCATTTGATTTCTTGACTGCTGCTTCCATGTGTGTTGACAGTGGATCTAAGCAAAATTAAGTCTTTGACAATTTCAGTCTTTTCTCCATTTATCATGATGTTATTTGCTGATCTAGTGGTGAGGATTTTTGTTTTCTTTACATTGAGGTGCAGCTCATACTGAAGGCTGTGCTCTTTGATCTTCATCAGTAGTAGTCCTCTTCACTTTCAGCAAGTAAGGTTGTATCATCTGCATTATCACTAGCTGTTAATGAGTCTTATTCCAATCCTGATGCCACATTCTTCTTCATATAATCCAGCTTCTTGGTAAGGTTGTTGTTGTTGTTAAGTGCCATTGAGTCTATTCCAACCCATAGCGATCCTTGTATAGGGTTTCCAAGGAGCAGTTGGTGAGCTTGAACCACTGACCTTGCAGTTCAAATGACTTTGCAGTCTGATGCATTAGCCCACAGCACCACACCAGGACTCCTTGGTAAGGGTTAAAGAGATGGAAACACTGCTCTCAGAAGTATATAGATCTAGATGGAGGCTATGCTGAGAAACAATAGCTTCACATTTTGTTATTTTTGTATAATAAAAGTTTCTCTGATTTATAGGCATACTTTTTTACTTTCCTTCATATTTTATGACTAGCTGTCATTCCATATCAGATTTGATTAGGTCATTTGGTTATACTTAACAGATAAATGGAAAGAGTTCCTTAATAGAAACTTGAATTGTAGGTAGAAAAGCTACACTGAAGTTGAAGTTTAGTAATGTAAATGATAGCTCAATGTAAAAAAACAAAAATGTGAAAGTCCTATGAAACCCCAAAAGAGTGTGAAGGCACCATATTAAATCTTTGCTGGAAAGCATAAATTAATAAGACAACAAAAGCTCCTTATAGTTATAGAAGACTTTGCCATTACAGATTATATTCGTATATTATATTTGGAGATAGAAAAGTAGTTGTTTTTTCTGTTCTATTGGGAAGATAGAGTCCCAAGAAATTCAGTAATTAGCTATGTTTGTTGAGTGCCTGGGCAAGACTAGGATTCAGTTTTTGTATTTCTAGACTTTTGCTTTTATTTCATTTTCTTTTTATATTTATTCATTTAAAAATCTCCAAAAGTAACAACAATTTTTTTTTTGTAAATTTCTAGAAATTCCCGTTTTCCCATCGTTCCTTGGTGATTAAACTGTACTTTAATTGCTAACATCCTGAAAGATGTGTTTATAACCATAGGTGAGATCCTATAACATGGCTTTTTGGAAACATGCCAGTGATTAGCTTCACTTTTTAAACCAAAGAGAGTATTTTAAAAGTACAGAGTTCCTAAATAAGAAATTGACTAGCATTGTTCAGAACATAAGTGTGAATGATCATGTGGTGATGGTGTGCCGTGGAGTCGGTACTGACTCATAGTGACTCTGCATAGGGTTTCCAAGGCTATAAATCTTCATGGGAGCAGAAGGCCTCATCTTTCTCCCACAAAACAGCTGGTAATTTCAAACTTCTGACCTTGAGTTAGCAGTCTGACTTCTAACCACTATGCTATCAGAGCTACTCTAAGTGTGAATGTTGTTGTTGTTGTTGTTAAGTACCATCAAGTTGGTTCCAACCCATAGCGACCCTGTATAGGGTTTCCAAGGAGCAACTGGTGATCTGGAACTGCCAACCATGCAGTTCAAACCGACTGTGCTGTCCAGCGCATAAAACCACAGCACCACACCAGGACTCTTTAAGTGTGAATAGTATGTTAATAATTTCAGTTTTTACACATAACAGATTGTTATGTAGAAGATTACAGTATTGAAGCTTTGAGATTAATTTGTTTGTTAAAATATTGGTACGAATTGATTGTAATTGACATTTAAGAGGAAAGTTATTGAAAGGAGAAAAAAGTTGGTTTGGCATTTTTCTTAATAAATGTAAAGAACATTTATATGGAAAATTAATATGCAGTAAATACCACATGGCATCTTTGTTGAACAGAATTTTACCATAAGATATACTAGAAAACCCAAGAATGAAAAACCTATCAAACCTAAAAGAATAGATTTTAGAGCGCTATAGTACACTTGGAGTTCTGGTGTGGTGCTGTAGAATAAACACTGGGCTGCTAACTGCAAGGTTGGCGGTTCAAACCTACCAGCCACTCCTCAGAAACCCTATATAGGGTCTCTATGGGTCAGAACTGACTCTGATGGCCCTTAATAACATAGTACACATGTAAATTTGAATTTCAGTACTTAATGTTCTTTTTGTTGTTGTTGTTAAGTACCAATGAGTCAGTTCTGACCCATAGTGACTGTGTATAGGGTTTCCGAGGAGCACCTGGTAAGCTTGAACTGCCCACCTTGTGGTTCAAACCAACTAATCCACAGTGCCACACCAGAGCTACTAATTCTCTTTAAGCTATGTGTAATTATATTTCCAGACAATTATTTTCATTAACAATACCTACCAAAAAACTAAGCTGATGAACAATAGTAACTGTAAACCAGGAAATTAAAAAAAGCCATTTTTAAATACTACTAAGGAGCTCTGGTAGCGTAGTGGTTACGAATCGGGCTGCGAACGTTAAGGTCAGCGGTTCGAAACTACCAGCTGCTCCGCGGGAGAAAGATGAGGCTTTCTACTCCTGTAAAGATTTACACTCGGAAATCCTGTACAGGGTCGCTATGGGTCGGGACCGATTCGACGGCACATAACAACAACAAGGAGCCAAAGGGAGCTCTGATAGCATAGTGGTTACAAATTGGGCTGCTAACCTCCTGGTCAGCAGTTCGAAACTACCAGCTGTTCCACAGGAAAAAGTTGAGGCTTTCTTCTCCCCTAAAGATTTACAGCCTTGGAAACCCTGTACAGGGTTGCTATTAGTTGGAACCGACTCCACGGCACATGACAACAAGGAGCGCTGTAGGATCAGTACTGGACTACTAACCACAAGGTTAGTGGTTCACACCCACCAACTGCTCTCTGGAAACCCTATACGGGGTTGCTACAAGTCAGAATTGACTTGATGGCATTTAATAGCAACAACAAAGGAACCAAAGGGGGTCATAAAAAGCCATATATTCAAAAGGGAGCCTCTTAGGCTCTGATTAAAGCTTTTCATTCATATTATATTTTTTATATTCATAGCAGCTTTATTATGAAACCTGTAGTTTGTAGAAAGATTGTTGTTGGACAATTAACTGACAATAATATGAAATAATAGCTGATATCCCAGAAGGAACCAGAAAACCTGTCAAGAGCCAAATAAAAGAAGTCAAACTCCATAGCATTCTTTGGGGCTATTAAATATAATTACTCAAAGTGACTTTGAGACTTTTACTGTATAACAATATATAATGTTTAGTTTGGTCAAGAAAAAGTTTACATTTTCATAAGGATACTCTTTTTAGGAAGCTAACAGTAGATTCTTTGCAAAGAAGCAGATATATTCACTAAAATATTAAATGTTGGGATTATGACTTTTATAATTTTTATATGATACATGCTACTTTTATCATTGGAAAAAATATTTTTAAAGGCAGAAAAATGAATAAAGAAAGGTGTCTACCAACACTTTACTGTATTTCATATATAACACATTTATGCAAATCATTTACACAGGTATGTAATGTGCACAGTACTTATAAGAAAACTGTGTTTGTGGATTCCTGAAGTAATCCTAGCTAACCTTGTCTAGCTCTACTTATATCTATCTATCTTCAGATTTGTCTAAAATTAACCAATCTTCCAGAATAGTTAAGACTCCTGGCTCTTTAGCCAAAAAACTAAGAAGCAGTACACTATATGCCGAAAGTATAAAATAGCAAGCAGAAAGCGATGAGAAAAATTGAGACATTATTTAATTGGATTTCTGCAAGTGAGTTTGAAAGTAATATTTTTGACATATAACTATTTCACTTACAGATGATGAAGAACGAGAGCTTCAAATGGATCCTGCAGACTATGGAAAGCAACGTTTCAATGATGTTCTTTAAGTCCTAAAGGAAAACTTCAGAAAACCTAAAGTGCTGTAAAATGGAATGACTTCTACTTTATTGTTTATTGACTTTTGTTGTAAAGATCAGTTGTATCCGTTGTAAAGATACATTGAGATCGACTTAAGTAAAATTTCTAATGGAAGACGGTACCCATGTACATACGTGAACTTTTTCATATTGTATTATCAAAGCAGAGACTTTTTTGGTTATGATACAGTTGAGCCAAAACAAAGTAAGCAAAACTGTAATCTTTGCTTTTAAAGCAAACTAATGTATATTTAAAAATTTTTTGAACCTAATTCTTTCTGAAAGTGGATAAACAGGAAAAAAATTGTTGTACAGTTTATATGTTGCGTATAGCATAACAACAGTGAGAACAATTATTCAACTGATAAACTTTTTATATACTAATATATTCTTCTTAGCCCAATCAGGTGTTCTGTTCTATCCCTCATCTCATGCTCTTTATGGAGTTATTTGTAGAATAGTTACATAATAAAGAGGAAATTGGAAGCTAAACACTGGACAGCATGTGTTCAAAATCTCCTCTCTATTTCTTTCATCTTACATGAGGACTGGTGTGGTTTGGCTGAGTCCTGATGGAAGTTGAGATAACCTACAAAGACATAACAATATTTATGAGTTACACCTTACAGAATTCATGAAATTATGGAAGACATACTTGACAATATATTTTCAATTTTTATTTTTTCACATAATACCAGTACTGTTTAACTATAGCCAGGCATTGACTAAAATTTTTATATTTTCAAAGTTCAAGTTAGTGAAGATAGTAGTAATTTGAATGCCAGATCTGGGAAGCGGCTCACTCAACTTGGAAATAAATCTACAGTCAGTATTTCAAAGCTTCTCTGGTAGTTTTAGTGATCTTATTTGACTAGACTTTTCCAGAAATACTAAATAAGGATTTTAACAGATGTTTTTATTAATACACAGATAAATAGAAGTATAGTGAGGTCTATAGCCATTTTATTAAAATAGCTTAAATTTTTGTCATAAAGATGAAGAATGTTTGTAATTACTTATATGTTACTGAAGAACCCATCGACCTCATAGTTGCTAGACTTGCAAAATTATTTTAAATACATTTGTCTTTCTTGACACTATTCAGTAGAATGTGTAACATATCTAACACATGTTTTCTGAGTTAAAGTACTTTTAAGTCCTATTCCTCTCCCAGAAAAGAAAAGGTTTTGATTAGAAGGGCCAATATAAAGTTGTTAACTCTTTTTCAGAAGGGCTACTATTAATTGCACATAAATATGAGATGCTTTTCTTTTTATATACTCAGGTTTATAGTCAAAATTCAAATTTACAGAGATAGAGAAATATGTTTTTCATTGTTGGGTGTACAAAAATTCCTAGATTTCAGATTGAAATTATTTAGTCATCATGAAAAGATGCAGTAATTTATGAAAATTGTTTTTTCCACATCAAAGTAAGCAATTATGCCTTTGCTATCAACAGGGTCAAGCTGACGATTAATTGGTATGATGGTTCTTAGAATTTTTTTAAATGGAGTTAAAGAGAATTGATGTAGCTCTTTTGGACATTAATTTGGAGGAAATGAACTTTTAAAAATACTCCTAGTGACACTTTATTTTAAATGCTATAAAACCTTTACAAATAAAAATCATCTAATTACCTGCCTTACTTTCGTTGGCATAAAAATAGCAATTTGATTATACAGTAACTATTAATTACACAGCAAAATGTCTTCAATTAGCAGCCTAGATATTTTATAAACTGGGAAACCTTAGACCAATTGATAAAATTTCTGACTGTGTTAATATTTTAGTATTAATACATACTATAAAATACTATTTGAATCTCTTAAAATTCTGACATTCTATAGTCTGCATTAGACATGTTAGTTTTATAATGTTTTACTTCTGCCTTAAATTTTAGGTTTTTTAAATGTATTTTTGCCCTGGATTTAAGTGTTAATTTGATGGAAACTCTGATTCTAAAAAATCATCACTTGCTGGGTTCTAATAAATTAAAAATTAAACATATTTTACTGTTTTGCTGATTCTGATACATCTATACACATCATACTCATGTGATGCAAACAGTCACATTTTAACACTATAATTTGAGCCAATTTAGAACTAATTTTGTAAAATTAAATTAGAATATCAGAATTTTTTGTGGTTTTAACTGTAAGCTAGTTTACTCAGCAAATGTTGAATACTTACTGTGTGCTGGGGTCCTGGTATGGTGCTGCTGTAGAAAAAGCACTGGACTGTTAACCACACAGTCAGGGGTTCAAACCCACCAGTACTTCCTTGAAACCAACTGAACAGCACTCAATAACAACTGTGTGCCTAGTAATGTTCTAGGTAATAAGAATACTGAAGTAAGATGGACAAGGCATCTAGTCTCATGGGGCCTGCATTCAAGTGGGGACAGTTAGACAATATACAAACAAATGGACTAGATAATTTTAAAAGGTGATGCTCCAGACAGTGACCATAAGTTCTATTTTAGATTGATCAGAGAAGATCTCACTCTCCTGATTGCCATGAAATTTCCGCCATTCTGAGCTCTAAGGGTTGCTCATTACAGGCAAATGGAACACGAGTACAGAAGCCCTAAACAGCAACATGTTTGGTATGTTTGAGAAATATAGTACAAGACTGGTATATGGCTAGACTATAGTGATCAAGGCAGAAAGTGGTAAGATAAGCAAATATTTACTGAATGCCTTGTGTGTAACCCACACTGTTTTAAATGCTAAGCAAAAAAAACCCCAAACACCCCAAACCTATTGCCACCTACTCATAGTAATCCTATTTAGAGTTTCCTAGGCTGTAAATCTTTATGGAAGCAGAAAACCTCCTGAGTGGCAACTGATGGATTTGAACCATAAGGTTAGCAACCCAATGAGTAATCCACCACCCCCTACCATGGCTCCTTAAATGCTAAGTATGTGTGGTTTAAAAAAAGAAGAAGAAAAAGAGAACATTCCTATGCTGTCAAAGAACGTTCTTTCTAATGAGGACAGGTAATAAATGATAAAAATAAAATCATTTCAGTTAGCAATAAATACATGGTTAAGTCAAAATGTATTGCCACAAAATCATACAAACCTTTATTAAACAAAAATATTCAAATGCATAGTTACTGTTTGACATCTCCATCTAGGTCTCTGTACTTCTTAAGGCAGTGTTTCTGTCCCTCTAAACTTTATTTTTTTCCCCTCTAACTTTTCCTTTGAAGAATTCTGCATTCTTTGATTTATATCATGTCAGAATGGCAATTTTGGCATTCTTGAGAGATTCAAACCATGTTTCAGTGTTCTTTGTTTGGGGAATAAAAAGTCTGAAGGGGCAATATCAGAAGTGTAGGACAGGTGGTTTTCCAAAGAAATTCTCATAGGCTAGCCCTTGCTACCTTTGAATAATGAGCAGGAGCATTTTGATAGAAACATTTTTCTTAGCAAAATTTTCCTGGCCTTTTTACCACCTATACAGTTTTCATTTTTCTTAAAAATTCTTCATATTAAGCCCCTGTGATTATCTATCCTGTGTCCTTCAAGAAAATCTATGAAGATTATTCATTTGGAATCCCAAAAAGCATTCACCATAACCTTCTTATCTCTCTGCCAAGTTAAACTAGCCCAGCTAGTGAGACCAAAGCATGTGTATTACTGAGAACACTTGTGTGCAGTCATCCACTGATTACACAGACATGTTTAAACACAATTTGTTCAAAATAAACCTATGCATATATGAACTAGAACCCTAGCAGCAATACTTTTGACTTATGTTCATAAATGTTATGAATAAGCTAAAAATGATTTAGTAAGAGTGCCTAGTTTATAAAGTTGGGTGGTCATAAAAAGCCTCACTGACAGAGTACTAAATGGTAAGAAGGAACCAGTTTCACAATGATCTGATGGCACAATGTTCTAGACATAAGGAATAGCAAGCATAAAGGTCCTAAAATGAGAATAAGGTTGCATGTGTGCCTAGAATGTAGTGGACAAGGGGAGAAGAGTGGAGTTAGACAATGTTAGCAAGCAACACAGAGGCCTGATTGTAGAGGGAGAGCCTTGTAGTTTTCAATAATGGGTGTGGATTTTATTTTATTCTAAGTACAATGGTGTATCTGTAAGGATGGTCTCAGCTTTTCCATCTCTCCATGGTTCCAGATAATCAGGTTTTCAGTCAACTGGAACATTACAGTTGTGTGGCTGGAGTGTAATAAGCGAGGGGAGAAAAATAAGGCCACAGGAGGTATGGAACAATATCAGGAGGGGCCTTGTAAATAAGGAGTTTATATTCTAACATGAATTCAATGGGAAAACACTGAGAGCTCAATTTCTCTTTTTTTTTTTTTTGAGGATCTATTGGCTATGTGTGTAGAATGGATTGTAGGTAAAAGAGAACAAGAGTGCAAAGTCTGAGATTAACAGGGACGTTGGTGCATTCATCCAGAGGGTGGATTAAAGTGGTGACAATGGAGATGGAGAAGAGTAGACATGTGGATTGGCCATAGGATATGAGTGAAAGAACCAAAGAGAACGTCTAGGTTTGGAGGTTGAGTAATTGGGTAGATAAAGATTCCACTGAATTAGAGAACACTGGGAAGGTTGTGTGGGAAAAATCAGTTGTGCTTTGATCATGCTAAGGGAGACATGTCTAGAGACATTCAAAAAGAAGTGTCAAGTAGATAGCTAAATATTCAGTAAGAGCTGAAAAAAAAAATTAAGAGTCAATGACAAATATTAGGGGTGGTATTTCAAACCAGGAGATTAAATTCTTAAAGAAAGCAGTATAAGTAGTTAGTTGTTGTTGTTAAGTGCCATCACATCCATTCCAACCCTTAGTGACCCTGTATAGGGCTTCCAAAGGAGCAGCTGGTGAACTTGAACCGCTGACCTTGCAGTTCAAACAGCTTTGCAGTCTGGCACATTAACCTACAGCGCCACACCCAGGACTAAGAGGGTATAGGGACAGAGCCCAAGGGCACACAAACATTATCAGTCAGAAAAATAGAAAATTTAAATATATTGGGAACCAAGAGAAGAATGTTTCAGGAAATTGGGAGGAGGTAACTTGGGGCAGACAAGTGACCTTTTGATATGGCAGGAGTGACAGAATGGAAACTAGGTTAGTATATTAAAAATGAGAGGTAAGGAAGTGAAAACAACAGCAAGTGCAGGCAACTCTTGAGAAGTTGTGTTGTAAGTGGGAGGAATAAAGAGATAATTGCTGGAAAGAAACTTAGAATCAAGGGAGAGACAGATCACTTACAAACGGATAATAGAACATGTTTGTATAAAGATTATTGTGA